GCGAGACCAGCTGAGCGCGCGCCGACACGCCCCCTCCGCGGAACCCCAAACAAAGCGCCCCATTGGCCCGCAGCGAGCGGGCGCGAGGGGGGGAAGGCGTGGCCTCCACACAACCGCCGGCCACTCGCACTGCGGCGCGGGGAAGGTGACGTAGTCACGACGCGAAAGACTAAGCGAGCCCGGGACAGTCGATGGAGGTGGTTTCCAGGCGCTGATTGGCCACAAGGGGGGCCAATGGCGAGGTTAGAGGCGGGACCTAAGGTATAGGCCAACACAGGATTGGCCAGTTGCTGTTTGATTTGCATATGCGGTTGCACATATTGCTCCTCGGGACGGGACAAACCTTCGGTAAGTCAGAGGGGTTGGGCCGGTGCTGGGCGTGTGCGAAGAGCTGGGCGTCGCCAGCGGCGGCTGGGGAGCGAGGAAAGGGGGGAGGATGGAGTCGCTCGGAGCGCGGGGAAGGTGGCGGGCGCGGGCAGGCGGGAGCGCCTTGCGGGGGACGGAAAATAGATGATGTCATGCAGTGACGTCTCCAGAAGCACCGCGGCTGCAGGACCGGCTCTTGGTACAAGTACCGCGCTATAGAGCTACAGCTATGCACAGATACCCATATATCTACAGCTATCCATAGTCACTTGCAAAAAATATTTATTCATAGCTATTGATAGCTCTGAATATTTTTTTGTTTGTTTATAACTATTGGTTGTGATATTATTAATTTACAAGTCCCAGGGGTGAGGGGCTCTCCCTCTGTGGGACCCAGCATAGGGGAACAGCATTAGCCCGGGGGGGTGCCTTAGCACCCTTTGCTTGGCTGGAGACTAGAGTTCCCTGCTAAGGCTTCCACCAGCCCATTACCCCTCTTGCCTGGCTTGGTGCGGTTCCCTGTGTCCTGCAAGCTTCTGAGGTGTTAACAAGTAGAATCAACCTATTGGTGTGGCCAAGGTGGTGTCTTGACTACTTACCTGCAGCACATAATCCTCTCTTCTAGGGGGGAGTTGTACTGAGGACTCATTTCTGACTGCCAGGGCAGAACACTATGATCCAAGAGGGAAAGCAGTAGGCGACAAAATATCTTTGCATATGTACGGGCATGGGTACCTAGCTCTGTGTCTGGGCAGATCTAGGGGTGCGGATTGGGGGGCATCATCACATACAAGGTAATTTTTTTTCCTCTCTTCTTCCGGTGAGGGGGCGGGGACAGAGGCATGGGGCCTGCATTGGTGAGGTCAACCATCGCTTACGCAGCTGGTGCCGCCGGGCAGGCCTTGGGTTCTTTGACAACGACCCATGCTTTCGGGAGGGGGGATTGCTGGGGCGGGATGGGCTTCATCTCTCCCCTAATGGCAAGCGTATCTTCTCTTCCAGGTTGGCTGATCTCGTACGGCGAGCTTTAAACTAGACTCGCCGGGGGAGGGGGCTGCAGGAAGACGAGGAGAC